GGGTGAGCTCCCATTGCTCCGTCCCAGCTCCTGCCAACCTTGCAGTTCGAAAGCATGCAAATGCAAGTAGATCAAAAGGTACCACTTCAGTGGGCAGGTAACAGCGTTCGGTGTTTAGTCATGCTGGCCACATGACCACAGAGACTGTCTGCGGACAAACGCGGGCTCCCTCAGCTAGGAAACGGAGATGAGCACTGCCCCCTAGAGTCAGGCATGACTGGATTGCACGTCAAGGGGAAACCTTTATCTTTTTACCTTTTATATTCTACCTTTCAGGATAAAGCTCTGCTGCGGCTTATTATTTTATTTTAATAGGAACTCTGCAACAGCACAAGACAACCTGCAGCACTCACAGACATTCCATTGCACATGCAAACCCCAATTTGGAGTTGTTATGCTGTGCAAGACCAGCTTGCATGAGTTATGCAAGGGAGAAAACAGGCCATGAGTAATTACACAGCCTTTGCATAAGCCATGCTCACTTGGTTCACGTGATTATGTGAAACCCTGAGTGAAAGTTGTATATCAAAAATGGTGTTTGCACACACTTCACATATGTCACAGCCTGGTCTCATGCTGGCTGGGGATGATGAGACTTGCAGTCCCAGGGACCATCAGGATGGGGAAGGTCCTTTTAAAGTATGGAATATTTCATTTTCTTCTTGAGAAGCCATAGATCCACTACATAGGCTGCTAGTCACCCACCGCTACCACTGGCAGCTAAAGTCATACAAACTACGGAGTTAAATCTTTACTGTTTATATATATATATCCCCCACCACACACGCACAGACACATACACTGTTAACATGTAGTGCATGACTTGTACCAATTTTGTAAAGAAACCAGGACCAACCTGACCATTATCATTGTTGTGTTGTTGTCATCACCATCTTTTTATTTAATTTACATTGTTATCACACTATAATATTGAAAGCCATCAAGATAAGAAAGATATGACAATCTGGAAACAGAATCTTGGTGAAGAGATATCACCAGGTCAATGGGAAGTTTTTTGGAAGAAAGATAATAAATTTACTGCCAGTCAAGCATTAAGGGTAAATTGGCATAACATGGTTTATCAGTGGTACATTACTCCAAAATATATTGGAAAAATAGATAATGGAAAATGTTGGAAATGCAACAGTGTGGATGGGACTTTCTATCATATGTGGTGCACTTGCGAAATAACACAAAAATTTTGGAATTGATTCATGCAGACATGCAGAAAATCTTCAAAATTAAGTTTCCTGTGAGTTCCAAGAACATGCTTTTGAATATGTTCCCTTTTGAAAAATATGTAGAAACCCTTTTGAAAAATATGTAGAGTTATTTAAGTATATGACTACGGCAGCAAGAATCTCAATAGCTTCTATATGGAAATCACCAGAGCCCCCAGCTATTGAGGAATGGAGAAATAGATTAGCAGAATATGCAGTGATGGCAAAGCTAACCAACTATGCAAATAGAAGACCGTTAGAAGAATTTAATGATAAATGGAAATTTTATTATGCTTAGCATGATTAATGGAAGTTCAGGGGAGTTAGGAAAAGAAAAAGGAAAGCAGTATCTGTTGATGTAAAGAATAACTATTTCTTTTCAGTAAACTCTCATAAAGCGTGAGAAGATAGAAAGAGAGTTGGTTTGGGGGTTGTAAAATAGGCTGTATATATTTAAAATTTCCTTTGCAATCTTGTCTATTCTGGTTATCTTGTTCACTTTAGTTTGATCTGTTCATATTAGTTTTTTTCTATTTTCTATTTTATGTATGTACATATGTTAGGAAAATAAAAACTAATTAAAAGAGAAAACATTGGCAAAAGAAAAAAAAATGTTTAATTTACATCCCACCTTTCTGCCAAAAAATAGTGTGCAGGGAGGCTAATAATAAAATGCAGATTAAAATAAAAAATTACCATTAGGCAGAGTGAAGCCGCCACGTCAGGCTGCAGATGCTGCAGAGCAAAGCTCGGCCGCATGTGCTGTTAAGAGGACAGAGCAGTGTGTGCCACTTGGCGGGCACACACTCCTTTGGCTGGCCAGAGTCCTCAGGTGCAGTGCAGTGCCTTTGCCAGCGCTGAAATAAGATTCAGCTGCCAGTTGAGCCCATTTCTGTTCATGGAATGGGTGGCTCATCTTGTCCTTGGTCTTGGGCAACAGAATGTTAAGGGAGCCGATTGTTAGCCTCACTGCATCCCATCTCTGGAATTAACATCCCTTACTTTTTGTTTGGCATACATCAACCTCTGCTCAGATGTCTGTGCCTGAAGTTTTTATTGATTTTCAGTAGCCTATCCGTTAACTAACTTAATCCTTTGTGGATATTGCATCTATAGCAAGCTGCTGGTTGTAGCAATTTGCATTGTTTCCAGTGCTGTTGCTTGTTTTGAATGGCAAGAAATTAGATATACAAAGTTATGTTGCATTTTTTGAATTGCAAGAAATGACATATAAAAAGTTATTTCATCATTATCTATAAAATGCTTTGATTTTAAGTGATTGGATAGGTTTCTATAATGTGTGATGGTTGTGAATGAATACTGATTTTTTTGTGGCTTGGATTCTAATAATTCCTCCGTGAACTGAATGTTGATCTTGTAGCAGAATTGTAGCTGCCGTGCTCCCTATGCAGAGTGTTGTACCCCTGTCTGCTTTTCAGTGCGGCAGAACTCCCGAGAATGAAATATGTGTGGGCAGGGTGGCAGATGCAAAGAAGGGGTCGTTGGCAGAAATTCTCTTTGTCCATTTTAACTAATGGAAAAACAACTTACACACTAATCCTGTTCTTCCTGGGTAAAGCTCTTTCTCCAAATTGATAGGAATAACTCTGTACCAGCTGCTTGTACTACAATCTTGTTGGAGCTCCAGAGTTATCCATGAGGCAGTTTCAGGCTGTTTGATGCGATCTTGAAGCCAAATGAGAATGTTGCAGCAGCATTTTCTTCTTGGGTTTGAAAGCTGAAATGATATCTCCTGCTGTGAATCTCTGTATAAGGCTTGTGAGTTTATCCTCTAACAAATGCAGAGTTGAAAAAGCACGGCATTTCTCTGTAAATTAATAAGTCCTATCCTGGCTTCCCCTTGACATTTTGTAATACTTGGAAAAGCAAAGGGCAATGCAAATAAAATGTGACTAAATAACAGCAGCAACAAGAGTGATTGTTTACCCCATTACGGCTCTTCCCTCTCTCTGGACCCCTTCCACCCAAAGGTAAGCATCTCATTGCATGGGTTCAAACAACACAGTAACCCACACTCAAGGGGTGAATAAAGTTGATGAAATGAGGGTTATCATGTTGCCTGAACTCAGCTGAGATCACAAACCATGGTGAATAGTGCACAGCTTGCAACTCAGCAACAAACCAAGGCTTCTCTTCATGGATTGTTTATACTTAACAAGCCAAGGATTGTTAGCACAGCTGTGTTCCAAGAACATGATAAGCCACATTTCAACAACCTACCTGAATCTCATACTGAACCCTTGCATGTGGGTTATCATGTGTCAACCCAGTCATGGTCTTCTCCAGCATTTGGGAGAGGGTTGCCCTGCATCATGGGGCTTTTTCTCCCCAGTAGTCATGCATTCCACCTGGATAAGATGCAACTGAGGAGTGAAAAGGGAGTCCTTTAGCTTTCTTAACTGCTGCATTGCATTTGTCTCAACAGTGATTGTACGAACACTGGTTTGAGCTCTCAAGAAGCATGACAGTTCTGCAGAACACCTGCATGCTGCCTCTCCCCTTGATTTCTTTCTGAAAATACATAAACACATACTACTTGTGCACTTCTCTAATATAGTGTGTTTCTGCTGCTGCTGCTATTCTAACTTATATCCCATTCTACCTGCAAGGAGCCCACAGTGGTATTCATGGAAGGTCTCCTATTTTATCCTGTTGTTGCAAAGGTCTGAGCAGAGCACAGAGGCACTGTGTTTCTCTAGTTTCTCACTAGCAGTGATGATTTAGAATTAGTTGCTTGGTATCCTCCCTGTATTAAAACAGGTGTAATGCACTTTCTGTCTCCAGTAAACACAAATAGTGCCAGCAAATAAGTATTCAGCAGTCTGAACTTGGCTCCTATTATCCAGCTGGTAGCCAGATAATTATTCTATAATTGAAAGAAAATGTAATAATCTTGAGGAAAAGTAAAGTTAGAATGCAGGTGGCAGGTAGAAAAGCAGCTGAGGGGCTCCTGGTACAATAATGGACCTTGACCACTGACAGTTACATTGCTTTTGTGAAAGATGTGCAGAAGAAACTGTACTGGTGCTTGGTTTGAAGGCAGCGGCAATGGCTAAGCATATGAATACAGCTTGGTGAAGGGAAGGTTGTAGGAGCAAGGATGGGGTCTGTTTCTGAAATACAGGTTTGGAACTAGTGCTGGGTGAAGAGTTCTCTCTAGAACCCATCTTCTGAACATAGAAATTTTGGCAGGGCCTTGAGAACTGGCTTTGTGAGCTTCCTGTAAGGTGGCTTACATGTCCGCATGTTGCAGTCCTCATTTGAGGATCTGTTCCATGCTCTGCTTCTATCAGAGGTTGACTTCATTGTTACAACAAGTAGCACATCTTCATTGGTTGATTCATATAATGCAGTTCCCTTTTATGGGAGGTACATCCGGCCCTGTCTTTCTACTCCCCTAGGGGACAAGCAAAACTTTTCCAACAGGAATATGGCCTCATTTCACTCAATTTTTGCACTTTAGTTCCCACCATCCCCAGTTAGCAGGGACACTGACAGAAACTGTAGTCCAGAACATCCAGAGGCTGCCAGTATTGCAGTGGAGGCTGATTTAAATATTTAGTAAAAATCTGAGGTCCAGTGTTGAATTAATTTTTAAAAATCTACAGAGGAAAAAATTGGAATCCTAATCCTCAGTGTTGTGGGAAAGATCTGTCCATAAGAAACTGAATTCCTGCCCATAGGTTGTTCCTGCAAAATGCAGATGGTGGTTGGGTTCATACCTTGCTGATGTACTATTCTTCCCATTGGCTTTTGCAGTTTGGCTGTGATCGTAGCAAGACTCTTGTGGACATCAGTGGCAAGAGGGGGTTTCAGGCCTTTGTGTGTGATGCACTTTCTGTGCCAGTACGAAGTGGCTCCTGTGATGCCTGTATCTCCATTGCACTCATCCACCATTTTTCGACAGAGGTATGTTAAACTCCTGCCCACAATATTTTGCAGCAATCCATGAAGCAATATGCCACCTGTTTCATGGAAGTCAAGGCAGCTTACAAAATGGTCTTGCTTCTTCTCTCTGTTTTATCCCTGCAACAATCTTATGTGGTAGGTGACTGGCCCAATGATCATGGTCTGGTGGGGACTAGAACCTGGATCTTCCGTATCTCTGTGGAAGTCACAATGGCACACTGGCTCTCACAGTGGGATTATCTGAACTCATTGGCAACAGTACTGAAAGGTCCTCTGCGGAGGTCTGTACCCATATCCACTCCCTGATCTATCTATTTTTATGAGGATATTTTCATCCCATCCAATACGAATCGTCTCTGGACGGCTTACAATATGATAAATACATCAGTCAATAGCAAGATAAAATGCGACTGAGGATATCAATAAAAACATAATTAAAATATTGTAGCTTTAAAATACTGTGTAAATACAAAGGTCTTGACCTGGCGCCAAAAAGCATATAATGTTTTTTATGAAAAGATGCCAGAAATTGAATGCAGAACATGTTCTACCGCTGAGCTATGATCCTCTGCCCACATCACTGAAGAAGCATAACATGCTACACCCAGAAGGTAGACAGTCTGCTGGTGGTTTACAGACTATTTCTTTAAATGTGACATAGGTATCTTGTGAAGTTTCTGCAAAACCAACCAATCCAGCTGGTTAGGCTTCAGTGGTTAAGATTTTGCCAGTAACCAAACCTCAGGTGGCTAACATGGAATAGTTTCAGCAATGTGCAATTTCCCTGTGCTCATTGTGATTACCCCACAGAGTGCTCAGGTGTTACTTCTCAGCCACTGATTGGCTAAGGCACAATGATGCCTAAGGTTTGGACCCTGGATACCAAAACACTTTTGCCCAGACAGATCTGTTTGCACACTCCAGTTCATATCCTGCTATCATCTCAGTGCACTTACTGAGCGTAAGACCTTCTCAGGTGCGAGAGACAAAGCCCAGCTTAGCCTTCCCCAGTCTATTGCCCTGTGCATGTGTTGGGCTGCAATTCCCAGAATCCCTTCTGGCATTTGTAGTTCAACACACCCAGAAGGTTCCAGGCTGACCTAGGCTACGGATTGCCTTGTTACAAGACTTTCAGAGTGCCTCCTCTCCACAGCTCTTACTGTTCTTATGAAGGCGTGCCTTTCAATAATATGTTCACGTTTATTATTACAGTGGCTGATATTTTTACAAAATGTGTCCCGTTTTTTAACATTTAGATACTGGATTTCTCTTACTGTTTTCATTGAGGTTGTTCATTGCCTCAGGGGGTGCAAATGTTCCAATAAAGAAAGAGAACAATACAGCTGCTTCTGATTGTTTAAATCACATGGAGATTATTTAAATCACAACATCATTATTTTACTGTTGTTAGTCTCAGTTGTGGTCCTGTTGCTGTTGTCTTCAGACTGATTTAATCTGCTCTTCCCTTGAATAGGAAAGAAGGCTGGCTTCTCTTGCTGAGTTAGTTCGGTTGCTGCGGCCTGGTGGAAGGGCACTCATTTATGTCTGGGCTATGGAACAGGAGTACAACAAGCAGAAGTCTAAGTATCTGAAAGGAGAAAAAGCTAGTGATGGTAAGGCAGAGAGTATCATCAGTGACTCCCTAAAGGGAATGGGCAAGAGTAATTACGAGGGATCAGGTTGCCCCAATAGAAGCCGTAGTCAGTGCAACAGCCAGTGCTGCAGTGCAACCCAGAGCATTCTTGCCAAGTTGCCAGTTCATACCAACAGAACTTCCTTTAACTCCCAAGACTTGTTGGTCCCTTGGCATCTGAAAGATGGCTCAAAGAAGAAAGCGGGCCATGCCGAGCCTCAACAGCCTCTGGCTGGCTCTCCAAAGTCACATGAATCGACTCCTGTTTTTCATCGTTATTACCATGTTTTCTGTGAAGGAGAATTGGAACTGATGTGCAAAAGGATAGAAGGCATAAAAGTGCAAGAGAGTTACTATGACCAAGGAAACTGGTGTGTAGTTCTTGAAAAGCAGTAGTGTTAATGTTGCCATTTTTAACATGAAGATCTTGTACTGGGTTTCTTTGAAAAGCTACTATGATGGCTTTGAGTTCTGCCTTTTATTTATAAAATAAATGCTGTTTCTGCAACATAAGTGGGATTTGATGGTGCTGATTTGCTTTCTTGAATTATGACTTTGTAGGAGAAGTGTTTGATTACCCTGTCTGGCACCAAGATTTTGAGAGAATTTCAGATTTTCATGTTGTTTAAAAGGGTTTTAGCTGTCATGCTACAGAAAGCAGATTGAAAATTTTAATTTGTGTACTATCTTTCCATATTGTGATTCTGAAGACAATTTCACAATCTGTACAAATGAAATAATATACAACAAAATAATTGGTAACAGCGGTGTTGGACCTCCAGTCCATGAGACTAATCTGACCTCCTTGGAGTCCCAGTGTAGCCTTCTGGGGTTCCCCAAGTTGCCATGCCTGCTTTCCCTTGACCAATTGCTTGGTGGTTTCTCCATTTTTGTGCATTTTTCTCCCATTTTAAAATGTTGAAATGGCTCTAAGGCTTATTTACTGGCAATAGGAACTTTAGACTAGACTACAACTGTATGTTTGGGTTTGGGGGCTGTTTCCACCACTGGAACACTGTTCCCATTAGTGTTTCTGAACTTGAATTTGGCCCTCAGACTGAAAGAGGTTGGATACCCCAATTTACAGCAGTTAATCAAATGAAAACAAAGCCCCATTGAGGATTGTTCCTTAAGAAACATCATTACAGCTATGCTAGCACAGTAACAGCAAGGGGGAAAAGAACAGGGGCTCTTAGAGGAACTATGATTTTATTAATTTAGGCAGTCTTCCTTCCTTCATTGTGATTTTGCAAGGTAGCATACTTGGCTCCCACCTTTTCAAATAGGGGTAAGAAAATTATCCACTAACCTTCTTGGGATTTTGAAACTTTCTGGTTCATCATGTTAGCTGCGAAAAATAAAAAGTTAAGGAGCATGCAATAATTGAGTCAGGGTAGGAAGAGGAATATAATTTTTGACCAATTCACCTCATCCTAACCAATTTCACAAGGTGGCTGTTGGGAGGATAAAATGGAGCTATTTAAGCCACTTTGGGTTCCTCACAAGAAGGAAAAAGGCGCAATATAAACAACAACAACAAAAGAATGTATCCCCTCAAGAAGCTGGGTCTTTATACTGGCCATGTAGAATGATTAGATTGATGCATGTGCTAAAAAGCAGGGGAATACAATGGCAGGATTGGGGAATGTGCAGCCTTTCAAATGTTACTGGGCTACAAGTCCCATCAGGCCCTGCCCAGCATAACCAATGCTGAGGGCAGCTGCAGCAAATCAGCATCTGGAGCACCACTCATTGACGACTCGTACACATGAATTGCTGAGACTGAGGAGCTATAAGAGTTGATGGCGCACAAGATACTTCACTGCCAGGATAGACACACTAGTACATGTCCTCAGAGCAGCTTTTAGAATGGTTAGCTTGCGGGTTTTGCCCCTGCACGTCTCAGCTGAGCCACTCTTAAGATGCAGTGGCTATTCTGCCAGTACATGTCCTTGTACTGCCTGTTTAAAGCTTTATATAATGTCTCTCGCAGAGAGCTGTCTCACTGGGCCTTGTGGCTGCATTTGCAATAATGGAACTTAATGCAAAGAAAAGTAATTGGTTATTGATTTATTTTTAGGATTCAGCCAACAGAGCTAGGAATATGCAGGCTTAAAGGCTCAAGAGATTCTCTCCCTCCACCCCTCTTGATTACTAAAGAAAGTAATATCTTTCTCCTCTCCTACCCTGACCATGTAAAATGCATTGATGAGACAACTTTATGATAATGGAGGTACTCTTCCAACTCTTGCCAAGCCTTGGAGCAGTCATGGCCAATCTGATACATTATGCACTTTTCCGTCTTAATTAGGCACATATTTTGTTAATTCTGCTCTGTTTGTATTTATCACATTGTGAGGTACCTTCTGTTCTATCACCTGTTCATTGATGGAATTTGGGAGGTACCATTCCCCCAATTATATTTATTTGCACTTTGGCAAATTTGCAATTCCAAAAATGTCTAAATCTCCCTAAAATGCACAATTTTGCATTCTGTCATTTGGAGGAAATGTAGACTTTTGGTCAGTGATCTTTTATTGTTTGTTTGTTTTCTATGACTAAATTTGCTTTTCTAAAATTCCAGAAAGTAAAACTGACAAACAAAAACAACTAGCAGGTCTGGCATCTGTGTGACTTGGGAAAACTCAAGCAAAATGCTTTCAAAAATCCAAACTTTTTTGTAACCATTGCAGGATTCTCTGACTTATCTATTAGTAATTTCCTTCAACTGTCTAGAGCATTTATTTTACTTTTGCACATTTTCACCTATGTTTTTTCACCATAGTGGTATATCCCTTTGAAGGGTGAAATTTTCAGGGTCCCTTTCAAGGTAATGCCTTTCTTAGACCAACTCAAGGCCCCAGAAAATGCACATCCTTTCTAGATTTCTTCATCAGGCAAGCTGTTACATAAAGCAGGTTGGCAAGGGCATGGGGGAAGAGTAGGAAAACTATCTACCTTCCACATTCCAAGGATCCTCCATGTTTTACCTAAGAATGGAGACAGTTTTGAGTCACACCTGGAAGCTGTCCTTCATCTCAGTCCAGCCTTGGGCCCATGCAGTTCCCTAGCTGACTGAGAAACCAGGCAGCTCTTCCCCTCTCTAATCCTACTGCATTTATAGGAAGAAGGTGCGGATCACTGATGGTAGAGCATGAGGTCATAAATAGCATCCTCTCATCTGCTTATGGCTTTCTCTTTTTCAAATGACTTAAAATGCTTTTAGCATTTTTAGTGCTTATTCTGTAGGGATGTTGGGCCACCTTGTACTCAAGAGCTGAATTCAGTGTAGGACAAATCGCTGGGGCCATATTCCAGTGGTGGGAGGGGCAAACTACCAAATATACTAGTCCATTAAAGCTGTTATCACCTGTAACTAAATCTTAAGAGAAGCATTTCAACATACTTGAACAGAAAAAACGGCATCGGAAAAACTAGGAACCAGGTAAAGCCAGTACTACGGAAGCCTGGAGGACCAGGCTAAGTCCTCAAGTAGCCGGATTTGGCCTGCAGTTCAACAGCTCTCCTGTGTAGCACTGCTTCACTGTAATGCCATGCTCTGCAGATTTTTACCTAGAGTAACAGAGTGAGGATATGTCCCATAGACTCTGCCTGGAGGGTCATAGGATGCTTAGGATTCCCAGATTCAAGGCTGGGAAAAGAGTTAGATCAACCTTGGGGAAAGGGTGGAAGGGACATTTTTGAGGGTGGGAAGGGAGAAGACTGGTGTTGACGGGATACAACTTAACCTGATGGCACTACAGCTTCCTTCCTTCACCTCCAGAGTGCCACAGTTAGACAGCTGAAAGTGGCTGTCTTGTGAAACAAGAGGAACAGGGAGCTCCTCCTCTGCATAGGGCTTGGAAGCTTATAAACATTCCCCTTAGCTCACACCCTAAATTGCATCAGGTGGAAAATGGGCCATACTTTAAAGCTCGATCAGATTGATCAAGCATGGATCAAATGTCTTGAGCAAGTCCTGACCTGCCTTCCCTTGGGTTCCAAAATGAAATACAGTCCTTCAAAATGCAGTTCTTTTACTGAAACACCACAGTTAAGAGAACAATTTAAATCTAGATAGCCTTTTACCAAAGCTGGAAGGGGAAACCTCTGCTCATGTAAAAAGCTGAATCCAAACTGGAAACTTCTCTTTCAGGAAGGTTGCTGGCTCAACCCTCACGGGGACTCACTGTTAGAGAGCAATATGGCATGACTAATGGAACCCCTGCAGCTGAGCAGTTTCTCTCTCCCACACTTCCTTGCAGAGTCAAGAACTGGATCCTGCATTGCTCCCCCTTGCCCCTGTTAACCTGTTCATCTCTTCCAAAGCAGATTGACTCTCACACTCTGTGTGAAAACCTTAATTAAGCAACCTTGAAGGAGCTTCAAAAGGAGCCTCCCCTTCCTGCAGCAGCAGCAGCAGCTGCTCTTCTTCAGAATTTGATGAGGAGTCCACCTGCACAGCCTACTGTGAGCAAGACTGGCCCACTCTCTACAGTTGAGTTCATTTTTGCAGTTAGTATCCCAATAACCCAGACCTTGGAAAGCGAAAGGGATGAATGATATCCGTGATCCCCTCTCCCCAACCCACCTCGCAACAGGTGATATAATCAATGAGCACCAAGTTGCTGAGCTCAGCTCAGTGTCTCCTTCAGCCTGCTGCCTAAGAGGAGGTGCCCACCTCGCCTATCCCTAAGCCTGGCCTTGCATCCAGAAGGTCCTTAGTTCCATCTCCACCACCTTCAGATGGCAACTAATATCTGTCCAAAAGAGCATCATTTCATTAACAAGAGCAAATATTTTGCACAGATAACCAATTACACAGCTTGTTACTGTCCTTTTTCTGGCCTCCATCTGTAAACATTATTTCTCGTTTGTTGCATGTTCTTTTAAAGAAACCCTCACAGGTTAATGTTTGGGATTGCACTCCCAACATCCTTGATAATGGACCAAACTAATACACCAAACCCTAATGGTAATCCTTGTTGTATAGATCGGCGCATCTGGAGAGCAACAGGTTGAAAAAGGTTGCAAGAAGTCAGTGTACCTCTTAGAAGAATGCAGAAAAGACAAGAGAGGTTAGGTTAGCTATTTGGAGCTAAAACACTATTAATAATAATGAATGCTGTATTACTTGTAATAATGATAATAAAAGCTTTTATATTCATTCTAATATATTTATTGTGTATTTTAACTTTTTAAAAACATGATAAGTTTGATCCAGCATGGCTCATCTTGTGTTTTTCTACCTTTCATTATGCTTTTTACCAAAAATGAAAGTATTTCATGGATAGGCTTTTTAAACATTACAAATAAAAATAATTTGAAGTAATTGAAAACATAACCATTTCATAATCTTTTCTGTGCTTAACTGTAGCCCGTTCCCCCATCTTTTTCTGCTGCACTGTACAATGTCACTATCTAAATATTTATATTCTGTCTGTTCCTAGTGATTACAACTTTCTATTATAGGGTATTCTTACAATATAGGTCTCTATGTACAAGAGATGACT